TTGACTGTTCCACAGTTTTGTCCCAGAAGTTAAGTGGCCAGATGACCAGCTTGTTCATGGCGGGTCTGTTATCGAGGAGAACATTAAAATGGGTCAGGTGCTTGAGTCTTGACACGTAAGTGTTATTGTGGATCAATAAACTCAACATTACAAGTAGATCAGGTAAATGGTTTAGTCTTGTCTTGGTGGGAGGCGTCTTCCATTGACCTACACCCCTGGAGATATCTACCACGGTCATTCTAAGGATACCTGCGTAGGGTTGAAGGGTGTCGATGTAGACAGGTCAATGGTGTATGGGGTTTGGAGTGAGACTAGGAGTTATTCCCCGAAACGAAAATGTTTCATCTGGAACTGAACGCTGGGGTTTGAATATGTGTAGGCTGGTATTTGAGAGGTAGATTGTAACGCCCCAGGGTATGATTGTAAATCTGTTGCGAATCAACATAATTTCATTTCAGATATTCAAAAGTATTATGTTTAAAAAAAAATGTCTTATGGTGCAAAACTCAATTCATGGATCGCAACTGGTAACCCTTGATCTCATGGTGATAATACAAATGTGAAACTCATTTATGAAATGTTAATTTTCATAAAGTATGCATATCCATTTGTTCAGGATTAATGGTAGTTCGTGTTTCTGTATTTATTTGTTCAGTGTTATTACAATAACTCAGTTGAGCAGTGGTCTTTCAGTGTCCCGACGGGAACGACTAAACCTTATTTTACTTTTAGGCGGTGCGCCTATAAATGAGCTATTCGAATCTCATACAAGTTTCGATTTGGGCCTTTGAGCAATTCAAATATCCTTGACATTAGTCTGTCGGAAATATTATGAGATGAGTGACCCACACGCTTCTGAAAAGAGTCGATGATTTCTTTTTAAATAGTTCATCTGACGCAAACCCAGAGCGAACAAGAAAACGCTTGTATGCGCATACGAAGCGTGCAGCAACAGTCATAACCTGGACTAAAAGTTGTTTATGTCCTTCAAATGCGCAAGATACCCGGTAAATCACCATTTTCAAATAATTTTGAATTACTTGCGTACATATACGCATGAAACATTTCAAAACCCCTATAGTATCACAACACTGCGTAATTAACAAACGTATCCATTTGAACTTGCGTATATGTATTTCTTTACCGATCTATATTTACTGATCGAGTGCAGACATCACATGAACTCTGCTGCAGTGAATAATGCATAAAAAGGGCACTAAGTCTCGCTTATTGTTAATTAGACATGTATATTGCTCTTGTCAGTTCCGACATGTTAAACACTTGGATGACCATTAGAAGACACCTTAATCAACATTTCAAGCAGAATTATTCTTAAATATGTCTACTCATTGGTGTAAAATCATCCACTAGACTGGACCCAAGGGAGAAACATACATTGCATACCCAAAGAAAACTATCCATATCAGCGTGAATGATAACATGTGAGTAAAATACTCAATCGCTAAAACATTTATCTGGAGCCCTGAGTTACCCTAATGATGATAGCACAGGGTAAGGTGTTGATAGTTTCTGTCGACAGTCATGCTAGGTTACCACATCGGTCCAACCTTTCCACAGCAGCAATGGATGGCTGCACAAGGGTGTTAGTCTCGAACATATCACTGAAACTTCAGACAGGCTGTTGCGTCATTTGAAAACAAAATAAACTCTGATGCATCACCATGGCTTCCTAGTTGCAAATTAAAGAGGAGCTGGGCTCGTGAAAAGCGTCAGTCTCATCAAATTTATTAATGATTTTATTTATATATATGTATATGAAAACAATTACTTATTACCGAAAATACAATGTGTCAGTTTCTCCCAGAGTTTAGTTACAAAATCTAGATCTAGGCAGGAACACGGCACCAGACCTCGAAGCTAAGTCCCCGGTTTAGAGGTTAAACTTTACTAAGTCTTCAGATAAAGTTGAAGCTCGTGTTGCAGTCCATGAAATGAGCGCTGAGATTGAATCAAACGTGTTTATTCAGCTCAATAATCACACCGGCTTATTCTTGTATTTGTTTTTAAGGTCGTGTTATATTTAAGACATGTACATAAGTGTTAAGTTTACTGACTCCCGAATATATATCGAGGTTATTCGCTTATATACACGTACGTCATGTTGGCATAACAACTATTTCAAATCTGTTACACTGTATGTTTAGCAGCTATCATGTTATGTCTATGTGCCTTGTGTGTGATATTTATTTTACAGTGAGATGTACGTTTTTGTAATATTATAGATATTTGGTTTCTGTGGACTATATACAAAGAGTTTGAATGACGCCTTTCGACAGTTATCTGTTTAAGTACAGTTATCAGATATGTTCAACATTTATCGGAATATATGTTTTTAATATCACAATGATTATTTATGTTAAGACTTGTAATTTTATGGTTGTTGTAATTCACTTTCGCCAGGCCTTCAGTGCAACTCACCACTTGTATAACTGTAATATTATGATTGTCTAACCTAATGTATGTACCTTCAAGTAACGGGTTGTAACGGAAGGATTCACCCACGAACGTTTATAACTCGTTGTGGATGAGCGTTTTTGCCATGTTCATTCAAATGTTTCCCCGGGGTCCGCGAACACGACTGACAGTTCATTGACAAATGGCTGAATTCCAAGCAGCGAGGAAGAGCAAACATAGCGCCATACACAAACATCCCGACCCACAACGCACAAAGATCAACACCTCTACCCGGGCCTACCCAGGAGTCCGCGACCCTCTACAGGCTTAGCCGCCTGTCACTCGCGCATAACTCAGCCTCACCTGTGCCTTTTTCAAAGGGATTTTTGTCGCCACCTTATTCGCTTTTCACAAGGACTTGTAGTCTATTGATGGACGTGGATTTAGCGCACAAGTCTTCCCTAATGGTGTTCAGCCTCCCTGCTTGAGTTCCTTTGTCCAGGGGCATGACGATGTCGTGGTCATACTGTGACCAGATCGCCATCTCCTGTAAGTGGATTGCGTAATACAGATTGGGTGGATAGATTGCCCTTATAACTGTCATCATTAGTATAGAGCAAAGGTGAAACAGCGTTGTTCACCTGTACACCTTTAGTATGACGTTTATGTGTATGTAGATAACGTGTAGCTCATTCGCTCCACTGCCTGTTCACTTGGGGAATACGTCCCCTAGTAGGTATTGTTTACCATGGGACCCGGTCGTGTTGGCCTCTATTGTTTCACCTGCCCATTGTGTATCTAGGCCGTATCGTGTGTACGATCTGTAGCGTTCTCAATGTGTGCCAGTTTTAATTGCCGTGTACAGGTAAGGAGACTGGTGGGAAGGAACTCAGTTCCCACTCTGTGATAGTTATAGGAGGAGCACCGCCCGGACAGTGCTGAGCTGGTGTTGACACTTAGCGTTTGACTTCTAAATACTGGATTTGGATTATCTTGGCTAAACGGCAAATCTGGATTTAAGAATGTTTATATGAAGGAAGTACTGTGACTATTTGCACGGTCAAGGTAGCCTGTATTTGGCGAGGATTCTAGCTGCGTTTCTACTGCCTCGCTGGTAAACAATTTACATTTATTCTTTCATTTTCTCGTAAGTACAATTACTAACTCTTACATATTCACGGGATATCGTCCTTATTTTACTTTGTCTTGTATTTGTATTGTTCCCCAATGCAGATACACTAAACTGTTACAGGGAAATATATCCTTGTACATATTTACTAATCTTTATTGGCCCTGCTTGACCTAGAATACGCTTGGGCTTGTTTGACAACGTGATATAGTAATGTAGATAGTGTGTAGCTGTTGACAATATAGCCCGTCTCGTATGTTGGGATCAGATACCATCTACCACAACTAAACACAATACCAACACAACTCCGATGACCTTCTGTTGAGTATATATTATTTACGCCCATGCGTTATGCTGTGTATCAACTACTCCTGTACCAGAACCTGCATATTTCATGCCCGTTTGATATTTAATATTTCTACCTACATAGTATTAATTTAGCTGCCTGTGTCTTTATGAACAGCTTTGATTATATCCGTTGAAATGTGCTCGGCGCGGTACATAACTAGAATGTGAATATGTAAAATTATATACTGGGAATATTTGGTAGTTTTTATGCTTGTATGATAAACCATAGATACGCTAATAGTTGTTATGATAATGAAGGCGATGAGGCCACGTTAGGCCGAGATGAAGATTAGTACAAACTGATGAACAGTCACATTAGTATCACTCAGTATTTCACGCTAAAGGATAGTAATTGTTTCCTTTCCTGGCATAAGTTTAGAACTTGAAACCCCATTCACTACTTCTCACAAACTTTTGCAATCACAAGATTGCTGATATAACATTCTACTGACTTTGAGTTTTGTTATTCTCATGGAAACAAATAGGTGTTTGCATGGTGCCGATGGGATCCGTCATTTCATGATGTCTGTTAATGTTGAAGAAAGAGATTTGCTTTAAGTACGCAATTAATGTTGACCAACTGTTCCACGATCGAATAAATGACTTCCTGGTGTTTATTAAGTTGTTAAGATCGAGTTGTTATGTATAATTCAATAACTATAGATGATTAATAATTCCCTTAATTATACATTTTGTGCAATTAAAGTGTATTGCGTTTCGTCGTTGACCGAAGTTCTCTAGTTTCTGTAAGGGAAACGTTGCATTTTACAAGATAATTACTGTAATGGAAAATGTTAAATTGGATTTATTTCGCCGAAATTGCATCGGCACATCAGCTGGAGTGTTTTGAAATTATTTCAACTGATATCGCCTTTTCTGTTTTTACCGATTAAATCAGTTTGTTACGATACAAATTGTTGAAGGGTCGTAACAATGGCGAAACGATTTCTAATCAATCCATGTCACCGTGCTCACTGGCGATTAGTTAAACCGAGTGAGTTCTCGGTGCTTGTGTTTCTCCTTCGTTATAAAATATTCAAGACTTGCGCTTAATCTTTGAATAAGGCTACGTATTCTCAGCTAATTGGCGCCATTATTTCATTTCCAGGACCGGATCAAGTCTAATCCAAGATAAACAAATGGAAGAGCAGGTCTTGAGCTGAGAAGTCGCAATCATCACAACCGTTTGACGTCTGCATACTGGAGAAAGTGTCGTCTGCTTCCAAAATGGGGTTGAGGCGGCGGTATAGACGGCCTACGGACAATGTATGGTATATTGCAGCTTCATGTGTGATATTCTTTCTAGTCGGGAACTTACTCATGTTCCAAAGCTACCACACCTTTGTCGACGATGTTCAACATCGTGGCAACGTCCACAGTCCACACGTCGTCGAGGTGTCCCCTCATTCGTCACTAGTCAGAGATCTCACAGACGACCTACTCAGTAGATCGTACGGCAAGACTATCAACAATCAGTATTTTGTGTTCGAAAGCAGGCTAAGAAAGTTAATGGAGGATACTCGAGAGAATGTTTATGCAGAAGGACTTTCAAGTTCCCATACCCCACAAATCCAGGGAACGCCGGTTACCGGAGACTCTATGCTTAATTGTAACGACATAGAAAATATTACCGAAAGGGAATTTATAGCTTCCGGCTGGACCAAAGCAGTGTTCAAGGGAAAGTACAAAGGAAGGTCAATGGCAGTGAAAACAGTTTATATTGGTGGTCAGGATATAAATACGTGTATACAACAAGGTGTTTCAATGGAGGAATGTTACCACAGAGCTGCACAGAAGATAGTAAAAGAAATAGTTGTGCTGCAAGCATTGCCACATGAGAATGTCATAAAGGTATGTATACTTATAGTATTCGTGAGTAATTATTGCTGAACGAGGATTAAGCCGTGTTTCAGCTATTTGCTTCAGTGTCTGATTGGGGGAGTTATATTGACCCCACTGTTGGTCATGTGCAGTTAAGGAGTCTCTTTGTTACACATAAACCAGTGCAATGCTAGTGGGTCAAAACATTGAACAATATATATCACATATCATCAGCTCTCTTTAAGGAACCCATCTCACAATGTTCTCTAGTTTCTCACGCTGTATTTGGGAAATGTATTGGTATATCACCTCTTATATGTAAGGGAGATCTCCCGTTAGCCATTGGTTACGACAATGCGTGAAATTGTGAGACGGTAATGCATTATGGTAAAGTACATTGCACAATGTGTGACATGGCTGGTTATGTATCATCGTACATTGACGGCATAGTCCATGCCCATGCTCTCAATCATCGGCTTGTCTGTCTGATATACCCGGATGATTGCTGAGTACGGATTACAACAACGCTGACACTCAAATTGTGTTACCTGATACACTAGTGACATGACAGCCTTATGTCTTGGCTAACTTCAAATCTGAAATTTAGTCTCTTCTAAATTAAGGTTGGTTGGTTGTTTTACACTGCACTCCGCAATATTCCAGCTATATGACGGCGGTCTGTAAATAATCAAGTCTGTACCAGACAATCCAGTGATTGATATCATGAGCATCGATCCACGCAATTGGGACCTAAATTAAGGGCGAAGAAGCATCTTCCCCTACAAATCCATCAATGAGCTGAAAATAGCACCCCGGCTGTTCCCTTGTAGACTTACTGTTGTCCCGTACTGGATATAATTTTGATATTATTGCTGAAGCACATGAATGGATACTTCTCCTGTGTGGTGTTTGCCAATAACTGAAGTTGAAGGCTCCATGCCAGACCCATGCGTAGATACCCACGTTAATTTTGTAAAACTAATTCCGATGAAGTGGTGGCCACGTTTTCTTTGAAAACAAGTTTTGCTGCCGAGACACCAGTAAAGTCTGCCTCGTGCAGAGCAATGTGAAGTATTGTAAATCGAAGTGTTGTTCCTGTTAAGAGTTTGGAACAGGAAGCATTCAGTTTGTGTTTGTCCAGTGGTGTAGGGGCGTGAAGCTCTTCATTCCTGGAGATTTTGGAGTACCACAGACTGTCGTTGGCAACGACGGCCATATTGAATTTGGGCGAAAGCATGTCTTCATTCTCAAATCTAAATAAAGGAAGAAACACGGATATTTGATATCAAATAAATAAACACTGGGAACATTTGGAATATCATACATATGATTACCTGAAAACTTCTATCAGTAGAGACCAAATTTGTAAAGGTAATCACAGAATAGTTATGATTAATATATGACTACGTCCATAGTGACAGTGACTAATCTCTTTAAGGTATGCAGCAAATTTAGAGTTTTGAGATGAAAAGTTATAATTGTGTATCAAGGGTATTTCAAATGTATACGCAAAGGAAACTATCACTGTAGTGTGTCCCTATCCAGAAATAGAAAGATAATTCTTTCAAGAAACTGTTTGGTTCAACATTGGAGGTCCTGGTGAGACCGTGGTGATATAATGGGTTTATATCCAATGGGATGTATAGGACAATATGGACATAATGAAAGTAATGATGGATTTCTATAAATGATGACACTACCTTGGTGAATAAATTTATTTAATGCACTTACATTCGAGTGTATTTGTTCAGTGTTGTACGTAATGGGTGGGTGGTCTGGAAGAGTAGCCATTCTCAGTATTTACCTGGGGTTGTCAGATCAAATCTCGAAGACGCTGAATAGGAGAAAGAAACTTTCCAACCTACTCACCATTTCGTATATTTTAATCAGCTAAAAAAATGAAGTTTTATTATTCTGCTCAGTAGAACAGATCAAGGGTTAAGTTGAGCGGGAAGGCTGTGATCAAACATAACTAGGTCTCCGGTCCGGGTGACGCTAGCGGCTACAAAATAGTGTCAGTTGTTATGGAAATCTAACAAGGGGACTAGCTACCTGTGTCCTCCTTACTGTCACATCAAAGAGTGCCGCACAGGTAATGACGAGCGTCTGTTGACTTCCCCAGCGTTTAAAGGGGGACGGGGAAGGATCCCCAGCGTCCTTGTAGACACTAATTTGTGACTGAGCTTTCTGAATCAGGTGCAAATCTTTCTAGATTATGGAATTTGTTGATACAAGATTCAATTCAGTCTGAATGTTCTCTGTTAATGACGATATTTTGTGCTTTACGGTTTGCATTTAAACACAGGTGACAATTACAACAAAAGTTTCTCTCTGAGTTTCCTTTAGTGTTCTATATCATAAGAGCAAGTTTATGTGGGAGATCTTTGTAGCATTAATGCTGTTCATAAAGATCGGAGATTGTCACGCGACTGATATCTCATACCAGGAGACCCAGTAAATGAGGAAGTGAGTTTGTGTAATTTGGGACATGAAACTCGCGGAGTGGTGTGATTATGCTGGTGCAGATGTTAAAAATTCACCACACAGCACAAACACTTAAATGTTCTTCATTAGGGAAATAACTTTAGAAAAATGTCTGGTAATCGTTCGTACGCTAAGCCCAGTAATAAGCGATAATCATTCCAACAGCGGAAATAGAATATTTTGTTATTTAAATAACTAAATAACCCTACACTGCTCTGGCATGACTTTCAAATCGTGACTGTTTGTGGAATGGTTTAAAATAGAAACTGCCAAGTTGCTCCCCCAAGGGCCAATTTATGTTGAAAACGATTTTTACGTTATCTAGAATTGACGTGAATTATTGCAAACATTTATCTCAGTCTATCGACATTTTGTGTTGACACACGTGGGGCGACATCATGAATTTCGGTATTTGATAAAGATTCATTACAAACTTAATTGCTCGTGCTTCCTGGGCCCAGGGATGACACAATGGAAGATCAATTTAATGTCACTTGAATTTAGCTCAAAATTGAAATTTTATATTGGCAGTCTTAAATCGGGCATCCAATCGAAGTGTACTCAACACAGTTGCCACAATCTAAGTGGAAATTGGCAGAATACTGTTCTTGATGAGCTCTGGGCTTTTGTTAAACCTAGAAATCGCTGGCCCGGCGTTCAACAACAGCCCCTATTCAAGTGTCACAAACTCGATACCCATTCACCTTCGCAGTGCTAAAAGGGGTCCCTTCTCGAGTTGATCACGATTTTAGGGTCAATACATTTCTCGAAATTAGTCGTTAAAAAGTAGCTAATAATAGGTCGTTGAGAGCGAGTAGTTGTTCCCTCTCCAATCTTTGTTTACTTGCAAGATACTCCCTAAAGAGAGGCTCTTTTACACGGCATATTAAGAAAATAATGTTTAACATGCTTACAGAAACCAGTTGATGAATGCATGCTAGCGCTTAACTGTCAATACTCAATTGTTTTCCTCTTGTGAGGAAACGGCTTTCCAGCGGGAACCTTGCCAGCAAGACGATGACTATTAGCACGCGAAACGTTCATTTATCTATTTCATAACTTCCTGTCAAACTTGATTTGGTTACGTGAGCTGATTTGCCTGTCAAATGTAATAATACCTAACAATATAAGTGCAGTTAAGAGAGAGATGGTAGGTATTTTACGACGAAGTAAGCGTGTATGAAGCTTTAATGGATTTAGCTCCTGGAAAACTTGACTCAGAACAGTCACATTTAGGAAACCCATGTAATACATTTTTGTAATCATGTATATACGGTTTTGTTTGAAATACGGGTTTTCTGTAAAGTAATGAATGGTGTAGTGTAATGTACGTTTTGATAATTACTTTACAGCCTGAAATGAATCGATGCTCATGTGGACAGTTGTCATGATTGATGGATGAAATAACAGACTCCCATAATTACTCGATACGCTGTAGGTACATTATGACTATTATTGTGCATCCCTCGGGACACAGTATATTTTTTGTGCGTCAATTATCTACATTTGTGCGTCCCGTAAAACCCTGATTGAATATATGACGCCTCAGTCTCACTTACAGACTATAGAGTATCTATTGTATACAATAATTCCATTCCCCATGTCACAACTCTGACGTTACGAGTCTCCATAATGAGTGAGTGAGTAAGTATGGTTTTATGCCGCTTTTAACAATATTCCAGCAATATCACGACGGGGGACACCAGAAATGGGCTTCACACATTGTACCCATGTCGGAAATCAAACCCGGGTCTTCGGCTTGACGAGCGAACACTTTAACCACTAGGCTACCCGACCGCCCCCTCCTAAATAAAGAAATGATGTTATTTGAGCTGATACCCAACTTTCTTCCGGCTTTACAATGTGGCAAGGGTAGGGTCAGGTCAGGTGTCAGAGCTCTCTTGAACATACACGAACGCGCGCGCACGCTCGCACACACGCACACTACCCTGCCAATCATACAATCATATGCACTGGAATATAGTGATGCATGTTTGTATTGTTTCTTCTCGTTCTTTAGGCGACAGCGTACTGATAAAATAATTTCTGTTTCTTTGCTCCTTGCAAATGTGATTTTCAGCCGTCTCCGCTGTGCTGGATTAGATCTACGCCTTACAGTACATGTCGGCTTTATATTCAAGCAATGTTTTGGTACAAACACATGTTTTCAATTCATCAAAGACGATTTTGAAATATTTGAGTTCATGAAATAATATATTGACTTTACAAAGAAATTATTTCATCATACGCTGGGGATGTAACCAAACAGCAAATGTAAATTTTCGTTCACAACAAATGCAACATTTCCATTCTCCCAATTTCCAGACAAACCAGCCATGCCTCACACATGTCGGCTCACATACCATGTGCGCGTGCTTTCTCCCGCAGTTGGCCTGAACCGTCGTTGTGTTTCCTCTACCGAGGCACAAGGAATTATCACACATGACCTCTGTATATTTTCCTTGGAGAGATTGGAGTCCCGGGCTGATGATTTGTGTATTTATCTAGATCATATCGCATATCGGTGTTTCGCCAAGCATAAATTC